TTGTGGGGTGGTATTTGTACTGGGGGTGGAAGTTCACTTCTGTATCATTTTTACAAGCGATCAGTATAAAAGGCTACTTGTTTTAGTTTAGTCTCATTCTTAACACTTTTCTAGACAGAAATACCAGGCAGCAACAGTACAGATCTCCTAAGGAACTTTTAGGTATTATTCACCTTTCTGTTATGGTTATATGTCAGCTTTGTATAGAGTGGGATGGTCGATGTTTGCTATTTCACCAACAAAAACATTTAAAAATCTATTAAACAGGAAATGTCAAAGACAAAAAAAAAAAAAAAAAATCCAACAGGAAACATGAAGAGCTGAAGAGCTTCTTATAAGGGTACAAAGTTGTTAATATTTCAAGGAGACTTCTCCTTTATCATACAATGTATATATTTTGGAAAGGACATTTTCCTGCTGTGCTTTGTGCAAGAGAGACTTCTAACAGGCCCCAAAAGGTCAGCATGTACAGAAAACAGTCTTATGTATGGAGGCTTTAGAACATACCCATAAATTCCTCCCTGCTTTAGATATTTTCACTTGATTCAGTGAGTAAACACAGCAGTTCTAAAGTCTCCCATCCTTGCTTTAAAATATCTAAAATACATGGGAATTTTGACACATCTACTTGTTTTTCTACAGTCTGCTCCAGTGCTTACTGCACTTCACAAGACCAGCTTTTAGAGCAATTCTGGTAATTGTATACCTATCAAAGAGGAAGAATGATAAGTTTAACCGCTGCAACCCCTGGGGATGTTAAGATGAGAGGCACAATTATGCTTGCATTGAGAACCAGCAATATTTACATTTGCTTTCAAAATTTTCCAGCCTGAGATGTCATACAGAGCATCAACTTGACCCAGCACCTCCTCCTGGGCCAAACACCATCCTCCACTGCAGGTAGGCCACTAATAACATTGAGCTATTTTCACAAACCCAGAAGCCAGCCACATTTATTCACTATGAAAAAGAAAAACACAGGAAATTCAGTTACTGATATAAAAGCATGCATCTTTTTATGCAGTCAAATCACAGAACCATAGAATCATAGAAAGCATTAGGACCTTAACGACCATCTAGATTCAGCCCCCCTGCTATGATTTTCCTTCCTCTCCATAAGTTCTCCTTTGACTTATGGTTACGCACGTCATTTCTAATTTCAGTGTTCAGCAGCATAGTTCAGCACAACTAAGCAAGATTCAACAGCAAATTTTAGTCTACATATTTGGTTAATTATATTCTACTACACGCATGTGTGCACAGACATTTCTAAAACAGCCACTTCAGAGATGTTTTAGAGGAATCAGAAAAACATTTGAAAATGAAATCCTGGATATTTCTTTTCCAAAATTTCAGAACTATATGTCATTCTACAAACCCTACCGTTTGTTGGTACATCCCTCTAAGTTCAAAGCAAGCAGGTGAACATACAAGCTACTCCTACTCCAATTCCTCTAGATTTCAGACTCTCATCTCCTACTAATTTACCTTAGTGGTATTCATTAGGAACACGATCTCTGCACCACTGAAGTCACTGGAAACTTTGCTGAAGATTCCAAAAGCAGTGGCTCAAAGCCAAATTCCCCACGTACAGATTCAGCATAATAAAACATTCAGCAGAATTAAATAAACACTATTATTTTTACTCTGAAGCGAAGCCCCTAGCCCAGAAGATTATTGCGCTTGACCCAGCAGCCCAGAAGATAAGGGACACAGTACAATTCTTACGTAAATTGATTTATATTGCTTATGTTTATTAACTTTTCAACTGCTCTGTTCTTCTCAGAAATTGCAGGAACTAGCACAGCAGTCTCCACTGTATTAGTGGCTCTGTTTGAACAGTTATCACAACAGATATATTTCCATACATAGCAGGGGAAAGGACGAGTTTCTAAAAAATTGCTTTGTGTAATGACAGGATGCCACAGAATATGCTTTAAGAGTAGTCAGGGAAAGAAGCTTTCAGGGTCACACATGTACTTGACAGACACTGCCTGTCATGTTTGTGTGTTTAGCTCCCCCTTCTCTTTTTCCAAGCAACCTGCATTACCATAAAAAAATAAATAAAAAAAATAAAATAAAATTCTACAAGCCTTACTTGTCCAAACCCGTAAATGAACAGCATATCAACAGCATTCAGTGTCTCTGTTGGCTTACAATACCTAAAGACTTGAGGTGTTTTACATTCAAAGGCAAAACTTCTAGCAGGGCAGTTCTGATTTAGTCACGTTTTTTTAGTTTGCTTTTAAATCTTTAACATACTTCACATATTTAGTTACTTTTATTTGAAGTTAAATATCTCAAATGATTTTCCAGATTGTGGAGATAAAGAATAACTCTGCTGAAATAAAGAAAAATAAAGAAAAACCTGTCATCTACATACTGAGGAAGATAAACTACTGGGATGTTGACACAGCTCAAAAACTCCAACAAAACCTGGGTATACTAGCCTACTTGCTCTAAATATCAAATCCTTCTCTGGTTTTCAGAGTTCGTAGGACTTACTTTCCAGGGATAGAAACTCAGTTATTATTTCAAGTTTTTTCTTCACAACAGCCACAGTTTTCATTCTCCTTAACCTACCACTACACGCGTCCATAAACAAGAATTCTACAAATCTCTAATATCAGGAAGTAGATGAGGAAAGACAACTCCATAATGTGTGACAAACATATACCTATGATCCTTGAAATGAGAATGTCCCTTCTCAGTACCAACTTCTTAATCCTCAGTTGCCACAATCACCCTTACCTAGCTTTTCAAAAAGTGATTTGTCACCAAATTAGAATTAAAAGCTGACAGAGAGCAAGTAGTTCCGATCTTTACCACCAGCTTTTTCCATTCTCCTTTCACAGAATCACAGAATTGTAGGGCTTGGAAAGGAATTCTGGAGAATATCCAGACCAACCTCCTGCTGAAACAGGTTCCCAACAGTAGGTTACATAGGAATGTATCGAGGCATGTTTTGAATATCTCCAGAAAAGGAGAATCCACTGGGCAGCCTCTTACAGAGCTCTCAAAGTAAAGAATTCCCTCATCTTTCAGTTGATGAATTCTTAATTTTGACTGCTTTTGTTGCGACTCCAACATATAAAAAGATAAAAGGAAAGGAGGCATACAGGTTTTATGTCCATAACCAGCTTGTACCTTAATCCAGAGGGATACAAAGCAGATGGCTTTATGAAAGTTAAATACAAGGATAATCCTAGGACCCTTAGCACAGTGGTTATGTAAACACAGTTTTCACTGTGCACGAATGAACAAACTGTACTATTTGTATCAAATTACACATAAGCAGTAGTTGCTGAAATACTACAAAGTATTGCATTAGAAATATACACTTAGTTCATACTTAGAGGGCTTGGGCACATTAGTTATTCAAGTCTGTATACAGAGTTAAAAATAACTATTCATTAAAAATCTATACGCCTTCCTGATACTATCTAAATTGAGTTAAATGACTGCCTATTCATCACCAGTTAAGTAATTCAGACTAACAAACCAGAAGAGGGGTCTTTGGAGCCTTGAAAATACAGGAATATTTAAAGAATGAAGACTTCCTAGTATTAAGCATTTAACATATCAGACTTTCTTAATTTCCACTGTTAATTCTAATCAACTGCCTTAGATTTTTATGGGATTCATCAATAGATTGCAAAACTACCGGCTTGGTATCAATGTTGATTTGGGGTTTAATCTTTGATTTAAAACATGAAGATCAGCCAGATTAAACTTAGGGTAATATATTTTGCACTGACAACAGTACAGGAAAAGAAATAAAATTATGAGCCTTGAAACTGTGCCTGTATTGTTACAAGACACATTTATGGCATTCTCTTGAAGGTAGGTGAGCTTTCTTTAAAGTGATGTATACTTGTCATACCATGTATAAGTGCAGTAACTGTTATTACTTGCAGAGGAAACACTATTTTCAAAACTTTTAATTTTCCAATTTCTGCACTACATGAACCAATTTCGTAGCCTAATCACAAAAGAGAATTCTTCTGATGATTGCAGAGAATCTTTCACCAAATGGAACCATGCTACACGCAATTTGAAAATCTACACACTAACATGAGTTGTTGCTAATATGTTAGTAACTTGTCTGGAGGCTCAACAAGCACTTCCTTGTACCAACACCATTCTTACGTGGTGTTTATCTATTGAAAAGAAGCCTAATAAACATATTAATAAGACAAAAAGATGTATTTTAGTTAACTGAGAAAAATAACACTTCGCTCCAGAGTAGCTACTAAACAGCACAGGCAAAGCTGAAGAGTAAATTACCAGAAGGAGTAAATATTGTGATATTTCATATTAAAGCAAGCATGTTTTTTGTTTGATTTCCCCATCATTCCAATACAGCACTACAATTAGACAAGTCTATAGTGTTAATTTACCTCTAATGGGATTAAAACCAAACACCAAGTATAAAGGAATGGCTCCGGAAATGTCTTTTTAAAAGACAGGTTCCAGACACAAGTAGGTAATCCATCAAAAAGAACAATTTTGGCACTGTTAAACACAAAAACGTGGGAAGAAAAATCATGCAATACAATACTAAAGAAAAAAAAACAATCTGTTAAATATCTGTTCCTCTGTAACATATACTGCTGCTAATATTCTCTAATAATTAGCCCAATATAGATAACGTTATCTGTAAACCAAGTTGCCTTGAATTACTTACGGATCACATACCTTTGTTAATGAAACCTCAGTATAATTGACACAGCTTTTCCTTTTTTGTTCTTGTATAATCCCAAAAAGTACACAAGAAGAACTAGATGTCATGAATATCATCCACTTTTTAAGCAACTAAGATTTCTAAAAGGGACAGAATTTGACAGGGGCGAAACTTGGGAGGGGAAGAGACAGAAAGAAAGAACAAACAAACACTCGATATCATAACAACAAGGTACTGTACCTTTAAGGAGGAAATATGGTTCTGTTTTATTCCACAGCTGAAAAAGAGCTTATTCCTGGTTATAGAGATTACTTACCTAAAACTTCAGTTATTCCCCTTTTTCCCCTCAGGCCAGCCTCTCTTTCACTCTCGGGAGCTTTTACCATTTAAGGTCAATGTTACATCTGGCTCTAGTAAGTAAAGCTGAAGCAGTTTTTAACTCGGAGATCCAACAGGCTGTCTAACATTAGAATGAGAGTTTAAAATTAAAGCAATTCTTCAGAAAGCCTTTTTCTTGCCTCAAGGAATTACAGAATAAAAGGCTTTCCTATTCTGGCATAAGTACTCTTAAGTACAACGCTACGCAGGCATCCCGCTAACATTCTTAAAATTTGCAGCATATACGGCTCTACTTACTCATTTCTGATGAAAGCACACATGAAATACAGTTTACATACTGTTATGCTAACCCACAGTTCGTGTCTGTTGATGCTGGTAACAATTGCTTTTTTTCCTCATCTTCAAACAAAACCTAACTACTATTTAGTCTTTCTCCGTTTTTCTCCCCTTGGTCAGAAGGAGCCTAAATTAGGGAGTCAGTACAAGGCATGTGAACTTTTAAAGAACGTTGGCTTCAGTCCAGACATGGGCTCTGCTCTCCAGTTGCAAAGTATAATTCCTAATGAAATTCACTGAAGTTGCCTACATCCCATGAGAGATTCTAGCTACAAACGGAGCAGGAAGACAAGAAAAAAAGACAAAACATTTACTAAAATATATTTGGATATCTGCAGGAAGATGACATGAATGTTGACAGCTCCCAGCTCAGAAACAGATGCAGATCTTTCTCCTATAGCTAATTAAGATATTTTTTTCCAATTATTGAGTTTTAAGTCACTAATTATAAGCAAGCCAAGTCCTCTCCAAAAAACTTCTGCAGTTCAAGTGGGGACATAAGAGCTGTGAGGGGGAAATATCACAAAAGAGAATGCAAATATGTATGAAGTGACTAGTTAGAGTTTCAGAAGGAACACACCCGGCTGCTTTAGGAGAATAGAGAAAATTATGATCTTGAGTTATCAGCCATTACTAAATAGAAATGAATAAAAGCATCAAAGAAGAAAAAAGATCCGAAAAAAAAGGAAGGATTTGGTTGTCCTGGATTACATCCATATAGGAGTGATGGGTGGAAACATGAAGATGCTTGCAGGAAGTATGTTTCAGAATGAGCTGATTCCAACATATCACTACCATTCTAATTGGGAAATAAAGGGAAATAAAAGGACTAGGCATCTCATTTGTGTCATATGAGACTTGAGCTTGAATTAGGAAATACAGTACTCTACATTCAAGACATTCTTTGCTCCCAAAAACCAACATAGGAAAAAATATTCTGAGAAACTTTTAACAACTTCATTTAAACTTCCAAGGTGATGAAAGTAAATAGGCATTTCAAAAAAACATTTCAGGTTTTGATGTCATTTGCACTATTCACTGCCCTCTCCACAAACATTTTAACTCATCTCTCATCTTCTTGGATTACTATTTTAATACTCACAAATTTAAGATCGTGCCCAGCATGCTTACAGTCTCTTATTTAGTTGATTGAAAATCCAGAAGTTTCTTGCCAGAATCTGTAATTTATCATTTTTCAGCTTAATTTTTTCAGAGTTTCCCTACAAGTGTAACATGCTGCACTTGAATGTGGCAAAAGTTGTATACTTAAGTCTGCATCTGTGACTGCTTTGAACTCAGTTTGGGAAAGAGCAAGTTACTTATTGCTTGGTAAGGAAACTGATTACTGTTATTGATCATTTGTCTGGCATCCTATACCACCACTGGCCAAATTTAGCCAAAATCTACTGAGTAATGGAAATCTCAAAATATATTCAGGCTCCTAGAAACTTCATGAAGCCAGCAGCTTACTATGGGATAAACCTAGAGTGACTGAGTAACAATTTTTTTGGCCCATCTATTTGCACCACGCAAACATGACTTCTATGGCTCAGATGGTTGTATAAGAACAGAGGGGACACAAAGAAGGTCTTGGAGGTACTGACAAGGAAAATGCAGCTTCCATCAACATTCAGCTCCTGGAACTGCTCGTATATTCTTGTACCTAACATCTTCATTTGGAGATTTTTCACCCACAGATTTGTTCAATGTATCTGAATGCTCTCTGGATAAAGTAAATGAAAATTGTTAGCTAAAAACCTAATGCTTTTGAACTAGAGAATATCGACACCTAAAGCTCAATTACTTTTAACTATGGTCTTAAAGTTGCACAAAGGAGGCACAGTTACATACCATAAAAACATTTTTCATTTAAAATCGATTATATTTCCTAAGATCTAACGATAACACCTTGTTAAACATTTTGAAAGAGATGCCTGCTAGCATAAACAGCAGTGAACATTTTCCCTTTCACACACACCTTTCTCACATTATTCAAATATTTATGTTGCTAATATTACGAACGTGTTCCCCAGAAAAAGCATGAAATTGGTTTCTTTTCTTTAGTAAGTATAATCAACTATGTCACAACAGCAAGATGCAGCACCCTGGGAAATACACACACTGACAGAAGGATCTATATTTCTCCAGCAGTTAACATCCGATTTCCTCGATTTCTCCATCTCTGTGTCTTAAGATGCACAGCAGTATTATCAGTACAAACTTCAGGAGCTGGACTTCCTAGGTTTAAGGTTGTTTGCCTTTGAAAATGTGAACATAAGCACCAAGAGCATACTCATCTTGAAACAATTCAGAGAGGATCTTCATTTTTGGGGCACAATCTTTTTTGTGTGAAAGTTTCTGTTGTTGTTCGTGCAACATAAGATAAGTAAACTTGCAAAAATTTTTTTCTAGATTTGACTTTAGTTGGGCAGTAAGAGCAAGAGAACTAACTCAAAAGTCTGATTTCAGTAGAAATCATGTTTTCATTTGAGCTTTCAATGGGCTCACTATAAAGCTGAAAATTCTTACTTACTATATACGTAGAAAGTAATGCCTATGAAAAAATTATGTAAGAGTTTCCACATTATTTGGACACCTCAGGACACATGGTATTAAAATGCCACATATTTTTTACCTTTTCTGCCCATAAATAATCATCAATCACATGACAAAGAAGAATGTTATGTCTGTTAAAAAAAAAGGCAAATGGCAAGACATAGTAGTATCTCTATTCTATGATCATTTACTAAAATATAAAGATTGCTAAAGAGGCAAGATAAAAATTTCCAGAAGTAGTATTTGCACTTAAAATTGGAACTCTATTATATGGTCTATTATATGTCCGGAATGTATTTCTATCAGTCACAACATCACAAACACCAGTGAGATTGACAGTTTTCTTTATTGAACCAATTGCACAAGGCATTCTCATCTTATCTCTCCTCAACTGTATGGAAAAACTAATTAGAGTCTCAAGTTTATGCCCAGGATTTCCTGGGTGCTTTCATTTTCTCACACTTTGTATTACATTTTTAAATATGTATCTTTGTTCAGATCTGTGTTTCCTTAGTTGTATGCTACTTCTGCCATAGTGCATAGCAAATTGAATCTTGTCATCAAATACGATGGCATCTGTTACACAGGTCTCCTGAATGTATGCAACTAGAACTGTGTGGCAAATCATATCTGATAGACTGATCTGTACAAGATGAAAATCTGAAGATATGGATCTGGTAAGTAAATCTATTAGAAAAAATACACAAGGCAAAGCAAGCAGTAAGCATTCCACATCCAGAGCTCACTCATTCTGCTGAATACCAAATCCCAAATAGAACCTAGAGTACTTCATCTAAGATGTATGCTGGTTCAACAGGATTGTATTAGCCAGCTTTTACTGTGTCAGTCATGTGCAGCTGTATTATATTATTATTTAAAAAAACCTTTACTTTTAATAAGGTTTATGCAGCAACTTTTCTAGATGAATCTTCTGAAAGACAGGGCTGTTTAGTTAGTTTGGTTTTTTTTAATTATTATTTCCAACTTTCTACAGTAAGAGTACTAAATATGAATCAGAAATTTAAATTTGAAAGATTGTGTAATGGCAAAAGAAAACAAGAGCCTTCAGAACACAATCAGGAGACATACATTATAACCCAGTCATTTTACAGAAAACTTTTATACTGACAGGAAAGTAAATTAAGTTTTCTTTAAAGTCATACAGATAATCACATAAAGTAGTCTCAGATATGTGGGAAGATATTTGAAATGAAGAGAAATACTCAAGTGCTTGCAAAATCTTACCAATTAAATCATCCAGTCTTCTTATTTAAAAAGCTAACATTTTTCTCAGTCCTAAAATAATCAACTATTTATCTCTATATGAGAAACAGTGAGTCCAAAAAACAACATGTCAATCTGCTTACTCCCATCCATTGCCAGATAATCAAAAATGATCCAATGTGTCAAACAGTTTAATGGGCCAAGTCTTTCTGGACAAATACAGAGCAGTTATAGAAGCCTCTATATTTCCATTTCATATATTTCAGTTCTCCCCTTCCGCCCCCCTTCTTTAAGGCACCCGTTTTAGAAGTGAGGTTCCTAATAAGTCCCATATTACAATGTTTTTAGTAGCTTACTGGAAAAATAAAAGATAAAAGAGTAACATAATTTTAAGTCTCTGCAGTCAATTTAGTTATGATTCCAAACTCTTAACATGAGTTGTTTTCTGAGATTCAGCTTTTTTCCCACTTTAAATAATTTAAACCTTAGCATGTACGCATTTGTTACGTTCGTAAGCAACCATATTACATCCTATGGAAAAAGTTTTTGGAAGATGATCCAAATGAGAAAAGATTCCACTAGTATTTTTGACATACAAATATTTCAAATAGCGAGCTTTTTCAGTCACAGGAAATATTCTGGAATACTGACACAATCACAGCCACTGAGTAATTTATCCATCAAGAAAAGGTCAGGAAGTAATTATAGAAAAGTTGAAGATGTTAATATTAACTGTGACTAAGGTCCGTCTCACCTTGCTTGTGAGAAGTTCAGCAGAACTGAAATATCATGAGGGTGAAGAAAAGATTGCTCAGGATGACAGACTTCTACTTCCATGTAGACGTGCACATAATACCATACTGTTGTACTCCAAGATACACATGAAGAAGACTAGTGTACTGGATTCTAATCTAGTTCAAAATACTGAAGTTACAATACAGTATAAATACTGAATTCAGGAAGAAGCTTGGACTGATTTGATAATTTAATCCAAGAAAAAGGAAATTAAAATATTGCAAGAAGATCTTCTAATCTCTAGAAAGAAAAGCACGACTTCACTTTTGCTTAGGAAAAGGGTGCAAAACAGACATTCACGGACTTTGAGCTGACATACCTCTGCTAAATAAATCCTAAATAATAATTCTTAACCACATGACATAAGGATTTATGACATTTTAGACATAAGGAAGAACTTTTTCTCTCAGAGAGCGGTCAGGCACTGGAATGGCTGCCCAGGGAGGTGGTAGAGTCACCATCTCTGGCAGTGCTCAAGAGCCATCTGGTTAAGGAGCTACGAGAAATGGTTTAGTGCTTGTGGTAGTAATGGTAATAGAAGGACAG